TCCCCAAAAACAGAACTATATCCAAAAAAACCTAGTCTCGAATAACTGGCATAACTTCTCCAAAATCACAAAAATGGTACTCGCCAATTTGAAGACGCCTTCAATTGACTCTCCTGGCACTACTTGGATATTCTTCCGGGAAATTTCACTATTTTGCGGCACTAGATCACGCTTCCCTCCGGCGTTCCCTTCTGACACAGTGTCACTTGTCACTGAAGAGGCTTCACCATGCGAACTGTCCTTGCACGCAAAATTAGATCGTTCTTGTGAAGAGAAGAAAGTCTTGACTACTCACATCAAAGTTCACAGGCGAAAAAGTCCGTTCCTAAATTTACTCTCAGGAACAATCCCTTAAAGCTGCCACCAACTTTTAATATTTACTGCTGTGGTGTAGTGGCAGAAATGCTATTCTAACCCTGTAGTGTGTGAACATCCAGGTTGAAAACGCTAATGATAGAACAGCCATAATGAAAATTTTATTGAATGCTAAAAAAATGGCTATATACTATCAACAAGCAGAGAAAAACCTAAATCTATTTTCTTAAAATCAAATTCTAATACATTTTACATGCGAGAGCAATACGTGGCTCTCGAGCTTGCATTTTTAACATTGCCAAAGATTTAATTATTTTAGTAAAGACTATTTTAACAACTATTGAAAACGTGTTTGTAAGATAAAAAAATAATAATTTTCAGCTTATTCTCACGAGACATCCTTGTCCATATTAATCTTCAGTTTCTTCTTCTTTTATGTGACCTTATCACAATGCCATCTTTCAAGCGATGACTTACTACTAACAACAACAGCGAACCTTTACAGGGTTACTGTAATGAACATTTGCACCATGCAAGGCACCAAGAAGAGAAAAAATGATGTAATTTTAAAAACTAAATAGTCTTAATGACTGAACATACCCCTTCCCCGGCATTGAAGGGTTACTTCAATAATTTCGTGCGATAACACTCATAATAACATACAAAATTGTACAATTACAACCTTATATAATAAAGCAATACGAATAATATATCTTAATTAAATACAATAATATTCAATTTTCAATACAAAATTTTATACACGATACAAGTTTTATAATAATAAGCTAACACTTAACTAACTTAAGAAGCTTCTTCCTGGCTTTGTAATTCCATATTTAATGATGCCTTTTGCTGTATGAAAATCAATCTACCTTTGAATTCCATAATAATCTTAAAGTTTTGATGCTCTGATCGTCATTGAAATTACTGAAAGAATATTTTTTTTTTTTAACAAAAAGATAATAGTATCTCATTAATTCTTTTAGAGTAGATCAAGTTTTAGCATGTCTACATTTTACGTCACCATCATTTCCGGGCTCATATATTTCATATTAATTCTATTTCCAATTAGAATAAATTTTTTTTTACGTCCATTTGCCGTCTCTAATAGCCCGTATTTTGTCTTCTTGTTGCTTTGTATTCCTTACTTTTCTACACATTTTGAGAATATCGCCATATGTTTTTCAAGAACTTATAATACATTGTGCATTTAAATATTTGTGAAAAATAATAAAACAAACCTAGATTTTAAAAATGGAAAAATGGCTAGGATTGACTAAGTGGAAATGTAATGATTCACAGGTGATGGATTCAAGACAATCTACTAGCACTAAGAATAATAAAAATAAAACTTGTTTACGGAAAATATAATGAAAAGTAATTTATCATTTGAGTCTACTTGGAATGGAGGTGAAATGGATCCTCAACCTCGATGTATTATTTGTGGCAAAATATTATCCAATCAAACTATGAAACCATCGTTTCTTGAAAGACAGGAAGCTAAGCATGTGAATTTAAAGGATAAATCTGAAGAATACTTTATGAGGAAATTATCAAAAATAGTAAACAAGTAATGAAAGGTTTTGTTACTTCAAGTGAAAAAGCTTTGGAAGCCAGTTACCTAGTAAGCCTAAGAATTGCCTACACTGGGCAAGCTACACTAATGGAGAAAATTTTATATGACCAACAGCTATTGTTTTAACATTATTCAATGAAAAAGCGGTTAATGAACTTAAAAATTTTCTGTTATCAAATGATACAGTAAGTCGACTAATTCATGAAATGGCAAATTCCATAAAAGACACACTTATTTAAAAAATAAAACATAGTGAGTATTTTGCAATGCAGTTGGATGAAAGTACTGATATAACGAACGTTACTGAATTATTACTTTACATACATTTTGAAGAAGATAAACGAATGGCTGAAGAGTATTTATTTTGTGAATCTCTTCATGATAGAGCAGCCACAAGTGAAATTTTCACAGTAATTGACAATTTTATGTCTGAGAATGAATGATGTTCCTTGGAAAAAGTGCATTGCCATATGCAGTGACGAAGCTCGAACTTTAACACAGGAATACATTCTGGTGAGATTCCTGAAATAAAGAAAGCATCACCTGAAACTAAATTTATTCGCTGCTTCATTTGTCGTGAAGCTTTAGTAGCCAAAACAATCTCCGAAAACCTGAAATCCACTTTGAATCAAGCCGTGAAAATTGTTAATTTTATTAAAAGTCTAGCTTTCAAAAATATTTGTGAACATGAAACACTTTTGTTACATTCCAAAGTAAGGTGGTTATCCAGTAAAAAAGTTTTAAATCGTCCTTTTAAACTTAATCACAAATTAAAAATTTTCAGTGAATTATGGTCAAATTTTCCTCTTTGATTCAAAATTTCAATTGCAGAAATGTTTATTTAGTGAATTATGGTTGGCACATTTAGTAGGTATTTTTGGAAAGTTAAATGAATTAAATTTAAGATTGCAGGGACAAAGCATTAATTTGTTTACCATTAGCGATAAAATAAATACAATGATAAAAAAACTCGAGGCTAATAATCAACGAAGTGGATAATAATATTTTAAGCTTTTTACCACTTTCGGAAGTTTTCTAACTGAAAATAATTTGAAAATAAAAGAAGAATTATCATCCGACATCAAAAAAACCATTGGTTTTCATTGATAAATAATTTCATCATGCATTTTCCAGAGGTTTATGAAACAGAAAATTTGGCTAAAAATCCATTTTGTTGAAATGTACCTGAAATTTTATCTCATGAAGAAAAAAACAATTGACAGAAATTTCCTGTTATCGAACTCTAATTGAATATTTCAAAAATAACAAGTTAACTTTAGGCTGAACAAAAAAAAAAAAAAAAAAAATTAAAGGCATTTTAAATGAAGTTAATAAATTTTTATTACCTTTTGTACAACCTATTTGTGTAAACAAGGAGTTTCTTCCATGTTATATTCGAAAAATAAATACAGAACAAAATTAAAAGTGGATCCTAATTTACTGTTAAAACTAAGTAAATTAAGACCAGACATAAAGAAATTGATCTCTCTTAAACAGGCCCAAATTTCACCCTTGATTTTAGAATTTAGTGTGAAACTTAAATTTTAATAATGAAAATGGTAACTAATACTTATTTATGTGTGCGTATTTAATACAAACAGCCAATAGGTTGTGCAACTGATAGAATATATATATTTTAATATTTCTATTGAGAAACTGAAAAATAATCATTCTAAAATGTAGTGGTGGTACTAAAGTTTTCTATTTTTGTTTAGATGGTACTCATTAGTGAAAAGGTTGAGAACCGCTGGCATATGGTGTTTAAAAGTCCCTTTCAGTAATTATAATATTGCAGCACATATTTTAATTTATATGAAATAGCTATACAATTAAGGAATAAAATATGAATTTAAATTATTTAGAAATGGGTACTATTTCGTTTTGAGGACCGTAAAAAATCGTCAAACTATTATTGATGCCAGTGCTGCCAAAAATTATTGCGACAACCCTAACACAACAAAGGAAGTATAATAGTAAATAACTATTTAAAGATCATTGTTTTAATTTAGATGAAAGGTTAATTTAAAATTTACATAAAAAATGGCTAAACATAACTGAATGGAAGGGTAAGACTAAATAACTGTTTCAAATTATTATAATTTATATAAAAAAAAGCTAAACATAACTGAATGGATTCCTGCATTGCTATTTTGCTACTGAGTTATCGCTAAAGTATAATTTCATCTGGTTGGTCGTTCAAACATAATTTTCTATAATGAATGATGCCTTTTCTTTGAAAAAATTCTCGGTAAAGTGCAGAATTGCCCATTTATTTGTTTGCCGCTTTTTACAAGGGTAAAAACAATTGTATTTTTGTCAATTTTCTTTTACTTTTTAAGTGAAAATAGGCCGATGTGTACATAGATAAAGGGTGTGCGTAGTGCCATTTTTGTGCAATTCTTGGGATTTTTTTTAAAGTGAAAATAGGTCGATGTGTACATGGATTGCACACTTTTTGTCCTAGGCAATTCCCAAATAGTTAAATCCATAGGACATAAAAAAGGATTTTAAAATTAAACTAGTATTTTAATGGCGTCTTAAGAAATATAGAACTATGCAATTTTAAATCAGCGCATACGCTAGATTTGGCGTGGTGTTAAATGGGCGCGTTTGCTAGACTTGGCGCTTTTGCGCATACATTTTTGCTGCAATCTTTTATGGTCCTCAAAATAGAATGGTACCTAGAAATGTATTTATTGCTTTTAAATTGTTTAATTAATATGTTAAGTACTTACAAGCTGATTAAAAATAAAAAATAATTTAGATATCTTATGTTTTGCTAAATGTCACAAATAGCACAATGGCAAGGCTACATGGAAATAAAGTAAAGATCTTTTCTTTTGTACAGAGAATAATAACATTTGCCAAAGTGAGGAGATGATATATTCAGCAGAGCATAAGATAACAGCAAAATTTTGGAAAGACTGCCAAGAATGCCTCTAATATATATATATATATAAAAGATTTATAATTTTATAAAAAGGATTTAAACAAAGATTGTTAGATATAAAATAACAAAATATGCTACAAATTAAAGTTATTATAAACAGTTCCTGAATTTCAGGAACTATTATATTCAGGAACAAAATGTATAAAAATTAATATATACCTTCAAGTATATAAGAGAAGCTGTGATAATACACGCACCTCCTATAAATGTCGGCAGCAAAAAGAAACATGGCACAGATAAGCTACAAGGATTTAAAAAAAAACTTAACACAATTGCAATTTGACACATGAAATACTAAAAACATTACTTAAAATGCATGATTTGGGGGACAATTTTTTTTTCTTATAAAACCTGCTTTAATATAACATGGTTCATACTTTTCAAAATATTAATAAGAAAAAACATTTTTCTTTCTAAATGCTTTCTATTTATTTTTCTTTATACTGTCAAATAGCAATTAAAATAACTTCAGTTTTTTTACCCTTAATTTTCAATGTGACAATAAAACAGTAAACAAAATTGCTTACCATAAATATAAGACAAATCGCACATAAAAATTTCTTCCACAGAATCCCAAGGCTATAATATAAGGCACAATGTATTTTTGAAATCTAAAAAGAACACATAGAGCAAAATATAAGAGAAGCATTAATAAAACATTTACAGTACAATAAGTTATAAAGTCATTATTGGTGATTTATTAAACATACAATCAAATTTAAAGTTATATTAATCCTCTGGAGATAAATATTTTTAGATAAAAACCTTACCTGGCACATTAGATAACTATTCAGTTTATTTTTAAACCATTTTACTGTGAATTTAGATGATTGAGAAGGTATAGAAGTTTGGTTAAACAGACAGCTCTTACTTGAATAAAGTCTTTAATATAAGACAAAAGTTTTGTTTAAAGTACATTATTCTTAACCTTGCACAGAATTGTCTAGTTAAGCATAGAAATGGCATTCTAAACCAGTGCTCTGCAAACTTATGAAGCTTCTGAGCTACTGTGCCATTTTAAAATCCTACCATGAGCAACCAAACACAAAAAAAAAAAAAAAAAAAAAAAAAAAACTACAGTGTTTTTAAAAAAATCTTACATTTATTGCCTATAAACTTACATTTCTAGTAAATATGAAATAAATTTTAATTAAACTGTATATAACAAAAATAAACTAAAATTGAATTGTACATAAAGAAACTGAAGTGTAGTTAATAATAAATAACAAATGTAATGACATATCTTTTTATCAGACTTTAATGAGAGAAGGATGGAACTCTTGTGTTAACAACAAGTTTTTTAGTGTTGGGAGAGTAGATAGTCTTTGCCACTTGAATACAGTTGTTCAAGTGTTCATCAATGAGTCTGTTTCTGTACTTATTTTTAAATTTCATACTGGAAAAAAAAATCTCACACAGATATGTATAGCTGAATACTGCCTTCACTTTGAACAGATATCAAACAGATATGTATAGCTGAATACTGCCTTCACTTTGAACAGATATCACATAGATATGTACAGCTGAATACTGCCTTCACTTCACTCCTAGACCAAATTGGGTATTTTTCTTCAGGAACAAGAGGGTCAAATATTTTCAGAGCTTGAAGAAAGCGATTTTACAGATATATCACCTTGAAAATCAATCTGCTCCAACTCCACTGCAGCATTATCTTCTTGAAAATGAAAATGCTCTAACACAAGTAGAGAACTCTTTAGCATTAATCATTATAAAAGGCAATTTGACAAACAATTGAAATCCTTTAAAATCTTGGAAGTGTTTTTTGGGTTCACTACTTTCTTACTAAATACAGACAAAAGTCATTAATCTGGACTCGTCGGGACTTCGGTGATTCCGGATTATCGATCATCAGTTTAAATCTCGTAAGATGGCACGCAGAAATTCTAAAATTAAAAATATGAAACAGTAATTTATGAAATAAAGAACAATTATGATCTAAAGGGTATCAAAATTTACAAAAAAAAAAAGCTTAATATTTATTTGTTTACTTTATTAAACATTTCCTTCAATGTAAGTTGTTTCGTTTTATGTGATAATACTTTCTCTTTAATTCTATAAACAGACATAATTTCTTGTTCAGTTACAAAGTTCTGTTGTTCAAGTCCCGCAATTGCTGTGCCGAGAATAGCGACTAACTTGACAATCGAAATTTTTTTGTTTTCACTAACCTCTCTGCCACCTTCTTCATGTCTTTATCCATTTTTTGCAGCAATTCCACTTTTTGTTTGATGGACATCGAAACATACTTTCGTTTTGTAGATCCTTTGGGGCTCCAGCATCGGAAATTCTATTTGACATAATCGAAAGTTCAAGTTTACTTTTATAAAACTGCTCTTACAGTCTGCAAAAAATAATACGCCGCATCAAATTCAAAAATTAAGGAACAACGAAATCATCAACATTAACTGAAATAGATAATTAGGTAATTTTAGCTTATACCGTCCGTTATACATTAAACACACACGCGAAAACGTATTCTGCGCTTGCGCACACGCATATGCGCAGTTGTAAAGGTCTTACGCGCACGCGTAAACGCCTGTGTGCATGTGTCAACGCGGAGCATGCGCAGAAAGTTTTTAGCCTTGAGGTCCGGATTATAGATTATTCCGGATTATGGGTGTCCGAATTAACGACTTTTGACTGTAACACACTTGCATAGCACAATCAACACATACATTTGTTCTTTACCTGGGTAAAGAAGTAATTGGTTTCTCATTCTGAATGAAAGTGATAAGTTTTTTGCTTTTTTCTTGAATGAGCCATCGTTAGAACAGACCTAGCTTAGTACAAACACCTAAATCAAACTATTCAAGTTAGTAAATGTCAAATATACACAAAAAAGAAAAATATAACACACACAACCTCACGCTTATACAATCAACTATGAGATGAGGCTGACAAGGCAGCTGCTCGGGAGAAATAAGCAGTTGTCGTTAGCATCAGTTCAGTGGAGGATTAGCCAACCGAAGCGTTAACGTGATCTACTGAAAATCTGCTTGCAAGCTACTATCGACAGTTTGACGATCACTGTTCTAAACTATATCATGACATAAAATAACCAACTTAAATTCTTGAAAATGCTGCATGTTTCCTATTTTATTTTGCCTTAGAGCAACAAACATATGGGACAGTGCTTCAGCAGATAAAATTTAATTTTCATGTCTACCATGAATACATGTCTCTTCCATAACATTAAATTCAGAATGCCCCAAAATGCCATTAACAAATTTTACATCAGATTATAACTAACAAGTTTTACTTAAAAAGTTGTGTTCAAAACCATGACCAGCCGCCACAAGAGGACAATGTTCACAGTTATGTTGGAGAGCGGAAAGCGGAATCATTTCAGGTGAGGACATTGTAGGAAAATGATGTCACAGTTCAGTAATGATGAACTGGCTGTAATGCATTATATTTATGGCACCGTGGATGGAAGTGGACAAAACGCATGCACCTATAGCCCTTACCAAACAGAGATCTGCCAAGTCAGCCATTATTTGGACAACTGCACCCACAGATTAAGTAAGCCTAGAGACATCTACATAAACAGCCACATTGGTTGGCAATGTACTACATGCACACCTCCCATAGAGAAAGCTGTGCTATGGGAAATTGAGACAAATTGGAAACACAATTTGGTACACCCAAGTCATGTTCGATTGCTCTGATACTTGCTCATAGGTTCCTCTTAATACACCACAACACAGCTTCCTCTATGACAGGTGTGCATGTAGTACATTGCCAACAAAAGTGGTTGTTTACTTGGAGAGTTTCAGCCTCACTTATGCTGCTGTTCAAATAATAGATGACTTGGCAGATGTCTACTAAGTGCTTTCATGGTTTATCCATACCATCCACAACCTCATAAATATAATGTATATCAGCTAATTCCTCATTCCTGAAGTGATGTATCCTTCTCTCACAATGCCCTTGCCTGAAACGATCCAGCTTTTTACTCTCCAGTACAGCTGTTAATTTCACCCTTTAGTGGCAGTTTGGTCATGGTTTCTGACACAGCTTCCTGCAAAAAAAAATTTGTTCATCATGATCCAATAGACTAGCACATAAAAAGTCTGTAAATGACCTTTTGGAACACCCCATATAAAGCTTAAGCACTTTCATTGTACTTTTCAATGATTGCCAGTTCACGGGGTCACAGCCATGTAATATTAAGTCAAATGTCCTTCAGATCTTATTAGACTGAACAGCAAGCTTTTGCTTGGTCTAATGTGACTACAAGAAAGACCTATGAAGGTTTTAAACAACCTTCTTATTAATCTGAATTTAAAATGAAGGCACCACTTGCATGCATAAACAAAACACCATTTGCAGGTAATAAAGTTGAAACTGCAAATTAAAAGTATCATAGCTAGAAACAATACAAATTTGGCCTAACTAAGATGACTCAAAACTTTAATGGTGCACTTTAATGTTGACTAATGAAATGGCTAATGCTGGAATATTAACAGGCAGATCTGGGCAGTAGAAGGTAAAGCTGAAAGCACCACTCCCAAAAGCTCTACATCTAAAACTTTCAAAACACTCACCTTAAATAGTCTAACCTCATTTGCAACCTGGTGAGAGCTAACAGAAAGAAGTTGTAGTAGAGATGTTCTATGTTCTTAAATCATCATAATTGGTTAATTGACAGAAAATAAAAGCTTTAACTAGGAAAGAAACTAATTTTTAAAGTTTTTCAATACTAATCTTTCATGTATCAACATACACTTGAATGGCTGATACTAAACTGCTTACTGAATTCACTTTGAGATAAATTTCACTCTGATTTCTACAGTAAGAGATTAATTTCAACACATACTTTTATCCATATTTTGTCCTTACTTTTAGAGTTGTATATGATATTTTAATCTCTTGAAGTAATGCAACCATTAAAACCTTCATCATTCTCCAGATTTTTAAAAGTATCACCTGAAGCACAATCTGAAAATCTGGTTTCAAGGTGTAAAATCTTTTGCTTCAAACTTTCATTTGATTTTTAAAACTTCATTCAAAATTATAGAATGCATCACTTGAAAACAGATATCAGTGATAAAATGGCATCTAATAAGTCTTAATTCCCCTCACTATTTAAAAAATGCTGTTATCAGAATTCATCAATCAAAACTTTCGTACTGACAAGATTTTGTGGAAGCCGCGACGATTCCATGAAATAAGGATTAGCCATTTTGTTTGATGTTTGCTCTCACAGAATCCAATGAGGGGATGCAGATTTCAGTGGCAGAGTTAATTGAGTCTATACACACTCTGAAGCCCAGCAGTCAGCTTTTCTGAAAGCAAGAACTACTAAAGCTTCTTCCCAAGCCAGTTCAGATTAGGCAGGACACTAACAACAAGTGACCAGCCAATCGGCATTAGCAGGAACAGCTAATATCTCCTGTTTCAAACTGAGGCAGAGGCCAAAGCCGTGTGATGGGGACAATACTTTGCCCCTCAACTACCATGATGCTCTTTCCCAACCTTAAGGGTAGAAACACATGGCAAATGCAAAGACAGTTTCTGTCTACAACAAACTCTGAAAAGGAAAACCACAGGGGTGGAAGAAATGGACATAAAACAGATGAAAAAGAAAGTAGGAAAGATCACTAGGGCTCCACGATCGTGACGCCCATCTACCAAGAAGGGCTAACTCCAGATCGCCCCATCTATACTCATAAATTGTGAGCTCCTGTAGGATACATGATTTAACAATGCATATTTATTCTTAATTCCATATAGTTAAATTACACATGATAGTGGGAAAAAAATCCTAGATATAGCTATTTATGCATCATCTGCTGTTAGCCTATGTTTTTCTTCCTTTCTACATTTTTTGTAGAGAGTTTTGTTTCATGCTGATGATAATTTTTCCATCTTTATTGCCAAAGTGTAGAGACATTAGGTTATTAAAGATGAAAAATGAGCAACGCCTTCGCTGGGACTCGAACCATGGACCTCTCGAATACACATCGAGCATGCTGACCTTTACACTACGAAGGCAGGAGAAATACCTTATAAAAGTTAACTTTTTTGTACAGGAGCCATTTAAACTGGAGCTGATTTTATTTATTTGATCATCAGTACATAAATTATTACTGTTGAATAATAATAAATAAGGAAGTGATAATTATTTCACTGTACTTAATGTGATTTCTAAATTTTAATAGTTTTAGTTTAGTTATTTTGGGCTATGTGGTTTCATCCATGTTTTAGCTGCAAACTTTTATGGTTTCAGTCTTCCAGTATAACATTGCACAGTTTCTTCCTTAGAGAAGAATTACCCAGAAACTGAGGATCCTTGGTTTAGTGTGTATTTCAAAAGTACTAGAAAAGAAATTTCACTAAGAGAACTTTATTTACACAACAGTATCATAATGAAATTAATGAGTGAGAAAAATAATTAGTCAGCAGTTTATATAATGTTTACAAATTCAAACAAGAGTATTTGAAAAAAGGCCTCCTTCCATTATGTAGTTCAGCCATACAAAGTTTCCTCCTCTCCTTACAGAGGCTCATGTTGAGTAATGTTTTTATTTTAGAATCTGAAATGTAAACAAATATAAAGTACAGTCAACTCCTGATTTACTGGGGAGGGGCATGGATTAATTGGGGCTCTGCTAAAAAAGAAGCACTTTGTAGGCAAAAATTATTATCGTAAAAATCATCAGCAGACATGTGAAAGAGAGAGTGAGAGCTGATGTTGATATGAAACTTTGGTTGATTATTTTTCAGGCTTATTCCCTTCGCCTGCCTTTCCTCTTTCAAACACATTTTTAACAATCTGATTGCAGTTACAAATCCCTTCCTGCATTCTATCCCCCTTCTTACAGCTGATAATAGATGCACTCTTAATTTGGCAGTACAGTAATTGAAGAAATTCTGGTTGGCGAATACTTGCACTTCTGCTGAAACAGCAATTGCTATTTCTAGAACTCATTAAGATGCTTCATGGAAAGGCTTAGATTTCACTTTTTTATTGACAAGTGGTAGTGAAATTTTATTAAATCACATTCCTGAAATCACTGCACAGGTAAATTACCTTGTAGCATTTTTTCCCTATGTTATAGTTATTTATCTCGGCTTTGGATTAACCATGATTTTGAGTTAACCATGCATAACCTTCCCTATATTTTCCTGGTAAATCAGAAGATGACTGTAATAAAGTATAATTAAATTATAACTAGAACAGAAGAGTCATAATTTAAAGTACTAGCTTTCCTTACCTCCTTTCTAGTGACTTTATATCTCTCCTATATCCACGAGGGTATTCTAACAAGAAAACTAAAATACCTGCTATGCTACATTATTAAGAATGAATTAACTAAAGAATATTTATCATACATGAAGCATTCTGAAGATTATAATTACAGAAAATTTCAGAAAAGACAAGACAATTATAAAAATGAGCACATAAATACAAAATTATGAAACTTTTTTACACTTCATAGGTAACCTAAGGAGGAAAATAGAACAAAACTATCAAGAATTCACTTTCCAACTAATCTTCAAAACAGGCAGTGATAAATTTTCTTGATAATCATTTGACTTTAACTTTGATAGTTACTTAAAGAAAGTTGCCATGTATAAAAACATTTACGACTGTACTTTCAGTTAAAGATTAACCCACGTAGCATATTAAGATATATAATGAGTCATCTATCAAAACATGAAAAACCTGATATTCTACTGTACAAAAAAACATTATCATTCAACACTACAAGAAACCCAGACTATAATAATTTACAGTTAATGCATAATGATTAAATATAAATTATTACAGATAGTAGAATTTATATATCCACATTATTTATAATAACATTTATATAACAGCAAATGTTGGCACTTCCTTGTTAAAGGGACCACTAAATAAGTCTTTGGCAAAATTTGAAAGCTGTATGTTACAGAATGGGTAATTAAGTTTGCTAATTTTAGTAACTAAGAATTGTGGAGAACCGAGTTTAATGAGGAAGTATCCAAATATTTAGCTCATTTTTTCATTGTATTAAAAAAGATAATTTAGAACAGGGGTTCGCAACCCTGTGCCCGTCGCTGTGTAATCACAATAAAAATGTTTTAGTTTTCAATAAAATTCTATGTGAAAGTTTTCTCGCTTTTGATGAAATAGAAATTGCATATAACACAGGTAGCAGCACAAAGTGAAATGCGACCGATCTCTTTTTTATGTGTATGCATTATTAACTATATCCAACTATTAATTCACATTGAAAAAGTAAATGGTGCCCGCCATGTAACAAATATTCTAGAATGTGCTCTTAGGGACGGAAAGGTTGGGTACCCTTATTTAGAGTAATTAACAGATCAGCCTATGGAAAGAAAATTTTATAAACAGTAATCAAAATACAATATCGTTTTAATATATTTAGATATATAAAGACTATACTGCATTTTAATTATATATTTATACCATATTGTCACATGCAGATTAGCAAAGTAAATGTTTCTAATAAGAAATGCAAATAAGGATTGAATGACATCTTCATCGTCATAACTGTAATAAAATTACTGTCCCTGAGAAAAATGTGTTGCCAACCACAAGAAATAATGAAGATGACTTTGAAAATTTTTATTGAAAATTATTAATTGCTTATTGCAAAAGCTGAATTTAGTAAATAATTAATCTACTATTAGTATTAACCCTCCAACAGGCCACGAGTTTCCAAACCCCCCAAAAGAAGAAGAACCTCGAAATTTTCCAAAAGTGCCATGAGACAGAGGTATTTTCTTGATTTTAATGCTACAATGCCTCTGGTACTTCATACCCAGATTTATGTACTTTTAATATATTGTATTAATTTATTGGATAAATTTTAAGATGCATGTATACATACGTCCTTAAAGATGTTACTGCAGCTTAGAATCGCAGATTTTTTTAATATACCAGGAGTCTCTCTAATGATTATGATATCAATGTTAATGCATGCAACAAGATCCTCCTCACTGACCATGTTCGTTTCATGCACCAGGCTTTTCAGGTAACCTCAGAGAAAGAAATCTAGGAAGGTAAGGTTAGGCTATTTGAATATGACAAGCCACAAGAGCTATCTGCCTAAGAGGAAGTATGCCTTCGTGGACGACTTTATGTGGGAAACTGGCTCGCATTCATGTTACACATGGGGAAAACTATGAAATTACAATTCACTTGCCAGCCCGTTCACTTGATTTTGAAACCAAACCAGGCCGAAGTACCAGTATTCAGTGGTCTTAAGCAATTGTTCACTGTTGGGCCCTAAATCTAGGCAGGATAGGCAAGTAATTTTGTGTTAGTAATGTGCATCAGATCATACTTGTAATTAAATACATATATAATTTTTTTCTTTCAATCTTATCATTTAAAATGCAACAATATAAAAAAATACTATTTTAATTTCAGCATTAAATACATATACAATTTTCACTTTATATCTTATCATTTAAAACGCAGCAATACACATAAAAACATTTTATTTTAATTTCAGCATTAAAATGCCATTTACCTTTATGTAATTAAAAGTTTAAAGTCAATTACACAAAAATATTCATCTACTTTATTAACATCAAAATGCAATTATTGTTACTATGCATCTTAAACACAAATAAATCAATAACTTGAAATTTAATTTGATACTGCCTTTAGACAATCACACAAACTAGTAAATCCAAAGCCAAGCCATTTAAATTTCAAATGCTGCTGAAAATTTATGAATTCGGCTGCTTAACCCTTTGACGCACGCAATATTATTTTTATAATTTTTTTAAATAAAAATTCTAGAAATTAAATATTATGATCCTAGAGACCTATAATATATGAATAAAAAAAAAAAAAAAAAAAAAAAAAAAAAAAAAACTACTCTTGCCCATTGTTCTGTGGGTGGTGGTCGCACTGTGAAACCACTGCACGTCTAGGATTTTGAAACTTATTGAGGTAGTAGGGAAAAAAAAAAACTTACCTTTCTCCGTGCGCATTTCTAATAAATGATGAAATTTATGAATTAAAAAAAATGTGTAAGAATTTCATTATATATAATTTTTTTACATTATTTTACAAAGTAAATCATCAGAAAAATTTAAAAAAAAAAAAAAAAAAAAACATTTATGTAATTTTTCTATAGCAGTGAAAATATAAGTACCTACATAATAAGGACGTTTGGCTAATTGGATAAAAAAAAAACTCAGTAAAATAAGGATAAGAAAGACTCTGTGTTCTTTTTTTGTACAACTCTGATATACGCCCTAATTTCACCAAATGTGGCGATATGTGTTCTGCACTGGTTTTTGGTGCGATTGCGTGTTGTATGTCAACCCTGTTGACGTTGAATAATCTTTTGCTGGACCTCGTTGGTTCGCGTCATGCTCTGTGTCTAGAGAAGATGGGGGGGGGGGGAGATAAAATAGTGGAAGTTGTTGAATTGAAGTTCGGCAAAAGGAAATATCATCGCGACCATCCTGTTGAGAGGCAGTGGGTATTTGGAGGTGTAGAAAGAGGATCTGGGAGATTATTTTTAGTGGCTGTGCATGATAGAAGGAGGGATTTGTGATTATTTATGATTTTATTTATTTGTGAATCATAGTATGAATTTTCTAACTGTCATATAAATACGATAGTGATTACGTGGCGGCATGTTAAAGGCGGTATGAAATTGATATTTCTGCTGTTCCAAAAAGCATTAATATATGGTAAGTGCATTTTATTTTATTTTTGTTCTTATTGTGTGGAATATTATGTTTATTGTTTTTAGTATGAATTTATGTTGTTGTTGTTTTTTTGAATTGTTTGAAATTTATTCTAGTTATTTTGTTGATTAGTGCGTAGCGTCTAGATTGTACAATTCGTAGATGGTTTTTAAAGTTGAAACAGAACGCTGTGTACATGGTATTCTTTGAAATTTATTGTTATGTTAATTTATTAAAGCGAGGTGCGCGTAGTTCGCAGATTCTTTTGTTGCCTAGATTGTGCAATCCGTATATTTTTTTAAAGTTTAAACAGGATGTTGTGTACATGGTATTCTTTGAAATTTATTGTTGTTATGTTAATTTATTAAAGCAAGGGGTGCATAGTTCGTAGATTCATTCATTGCCTAGATTGTGCCATTCGTAGATGTTTTTTTAAGTTAAAACATATTGCTGTGTACAAGGATTCTTGTCAAATATTTTTGGTTAGAAACTTTACGTTTTTGCTATCTAAATTTTTTGTTTTTGTTTCAGATATTTAGCTTAAATTGTGTGTTCAAAACGTGGTTTTTGCATGTACGACAACTGTGAAACTGTGCTTTTGGAGACATTTTAGGCTTAAAGTTCAAAATGTAGACAGGAAATTTAGACAGTAATATGGCAGCGTTTTGGCGACTTAAGGGAGCATATCAGAGTAGTTCCTTTTTTTTTTTTTTTTAAATTTCAAAGAACATTTTTTTGTGACTCTGTTCAAAGTATGTTTTGTCTTTTTGGTACATGCATAAACCCACATTGCACGTTTCACACATGTAGCTTCTTTTATGAGGTTTCTTCCTTGTGCTCACTGCCTGGATCTAAATTTCACTGGTATATGTCCTGTGTTATTTAGTTTCTTTTCATCTGGCACATGAAATTTGTGGTTTTTTATGTTAATGGGGCAGGGGGGCTTGGTCTTTTTGGCTTTGGTATGGATCATTCATTTCTCATTCATAATTATTTTATTTGTATTTTGTACCAAAATATTCAGAAAATATTTTTAATTTAAATATAACTTTATGCGATTTCTATTTTTAATTATAGCAAAGTATATTTACATTAAATTTAAACCACAAGAAATAATTTATAAAATCACAATACTCGCCTGGGGAGCAAGTGTGTTGAGGTCAGAGAAAAGTCTCTGGAAAAGAAAGACCTTTTCACTGGGCAAGTGCATGTATTGTTTGGTAATAAAATAACTCTGTGGTTTCAAAACCCCTTATCTATATCTGGGTAAAAATAAACATTACTACTTGAGAAGCAAGCAAACGCCATTGTGAAGAGCAGTAGTTTCAAGGTGCGACCATCGAGCCTCTAGAGCATTGCTCACAATGCTATTATCGAGCCTCCAGAGCATTGCTCACAATGCTCTTGGCGCAGTGGTCGCGCCCTGAAAACCGCAAAGCAAATGCCATACATATAGTTTTTTTATATATATATGCAGTTTAATTATTGCTATTTTTTATTGTTTATTATAGAAATCATGATGTGGGATAAATAAGTTTTGAAATTTAAACTTGTTTATATTAATAAAAGGAATTTATTTTGTCTCATTAAAAAAAAATTTTAAAAGGCATCTGATTTGAAGTACTAAGACCTAAAACATGTATGATTCTGCAGTCATTTTGTGTTATTTAGAGGTAAAAGATCAGTAATCAATTGATTTTCACGCAAAAATTTCGGAAAGAAGAGGAGAAAAAAATAAAAAAATTGTTGGTTTCAAGGCACGACCACCTCGCGTCAAAGGGTTAACAAAGAAATACATGTTAAATGATATATGATAAGGGCCGGTTACTGAGCCGGTGTAGTACAATTTTTAGAATTTAGTGACACATTGAGCAACAAAATCTAGAAATGGCAAAATTTTAGAATTTAGGAAGGCACTAGGCAACAGAATTTATGATCTACAGCGATTGCATCAGGTGGGAAAATGCATAGCCTGAACACTGTGTATGATGCAAAGAGCCGTAGCTAGGGTTTTCAGCGCCTGGGATAATTCAGATGGTATTAACACGTAATAGATGTCACTAGATACAAGCTTACATTACTTTCTCTTATGGACAGGCATTTAGAGAAAGGAATTTTTCTGTTAATAAAGAAACTGAAAGCTGACAATTTGAAAGATCCATCTTATATGTCTGAATGCATCAGCATCAGACGTTCTCCCTTGCCACACCCTATCTATGTAAGTGATGATGCATTGACACATATAAGATGAATCGTTTAAATTATCAGTTTTTAATTTCTTTATTAATAGAAAAATTCCTTTCTATAAACACCTGGCCATATGATAAGATTAGAAGCATTTTTGATATTTTCCACACTTGTCTCTAGTGAAAAGTAGAGAAAACAATGAGAAGGTAAACATGTTAAAAAAAGGATTTCGGTTGATCTTTACAATATGGTAACTGGTAGTTTGGCGACATTTTGGAGGCGATAAAGGTTACTACCTGGGACTTTGGTAATAATGTGAGCAGTACTCAGTTCCGATTACGCATTATTTTGTGTGAGGGAAATGAGAGATCATGGGATATGTCATGTGATATTAATGGACGAATTACGGTTCTTTAATCGGAAAAGGGGGGAAATCGGGAAAAAATCTGGAAATTTGTATTTGGCTTTATTCTGTGTTGTGTGAAACAGTGTTCGTGAATTTTTGGATCCCATGGCCGAACTAAAGTGAATTCGAAATGGGTATTTATGTATGTATTAATTTAATGTATGTGCTCATTTATATTTTAAGTAGTGTTTTTGAATTTAATTATATTTTAATTAAATGATAGTGATTTTGTGAATTTTATGTTTGTAGGAATTTGGTATATGTTTTAGTTGAAGTAAACGTGCATGGAAATAATTTAAATATCTGACACTAAGTATTTGTAATGGTTGCGGTATGAATTCGTTGGTGACGTGTATAATGTAATAGATGATTTAGAGGTAAAAGTTTTTGGATATTTTATTTATTTTATATGTGAAAATGTTCATCTTTGGAAAGGGTAAATACTTTTTCACGATCAGGTAATTTCATATATGTTCTTTTTACCGGGTTTAAAGATTGAGAAAATTATCATGTATTTTCGTGAAATTTTTCTAATTTATGAGAAAAAAGCAGTGTACATGGATATAGTGAAGAGTGTGCGCAATGCCATTTTTGTGCAATTCTGGGATTTTTTTTAAGTAAAAAGTCGACGTGTACATGGTTTAGTGATATTTTAATTAAATGATAGTTATTTTGTGAATTTTATGTTTGTAGGAATTTGGTACACGTTTAAGTTGAAGTAAACGTGCATGGAAATAATTTAAATATTTGATACTAAGTATTTGTAATGCTTGCGGTATGAATTCGTTGGTGACGTGTATAATGAATGTAATAGATGATTTAGAGGTAAAAGTTTTTGGATATTTTATTTATTTTATATGTGGAAATGTTCATATTTGGAAAGGGTAAATACTTTTCGCGATCAGGTAATTTCATAATGTGTTCTTTTTACCGGGTTTAAAGATTGAGAAAATTGTCATGTATTTTCGTGAAAATTTTCTAATTTATGAGAAAAAAGCAGTGTACATGGATATAGTGAAGAGTGTGCGCAATGCCATTTTTGTGCAATTCTGGGATTTTTTTTTAAGTAAAAATAAGTCGGCGTGTACATGGTTTATGTGTATGTGTTATTTGAAAAACGCGTAAGGAGTATGGTACTGTGCACTTTTTCCCAATTTTGCAGTGATCATTTGTCATGATTAAGCAGTTTTGTTAGATAAAATTTCTAGCATAAGTGTAATTCGGCTAGCAGATTGTTGGAAGAAGTGTTCAGTAGATAAAAAGAAAAGAAACATGTCTTTACTTCGTGAAGACAAAATGGCGGCGGGAAAAAAAAATAGAGGGTTCCTGTAGGAGAGTTGGTCGCCAAATTTTTGCCAAAAAAACGCCAAGTTACCATAATGTAAAGATCAACCAGGATTTCTAGTATCAGAAGTAAAACACATCAGAAGCGAAGAAGTTTTGAATATTACGTTTTCATTGTTTTTTCGAAAATTAGTTCATCTCAAACTTTCTGTAAAATACATCCATTACGTGTTAATACCATGCAGACATTTTTCTAAAATCTTCTAGATTCTATAACTCTTGCCAGAGCCAGATTTAGATTTGATAAGGCCCTAAGCTAGTTGAGATATGGGGCCCTTTATAAGTCTGTTATAATATATTTTAATACTATTTATATTATATTTTAAATTTTTTTAGGACACCCAAGAAAGTGGAGGGCCCTAAGCTATAGCTTGTGTAGCTTATATGTAAATCTGGCCCTGACTCTTGCCTTCAAATCCTTCTAAATTTGTAAAGTTATAAAGTCTAAAATCTTAAAGAAAAATTACCCTACAAATTCTGTAACAGCAAAATGCCAGAAATATGCTTAGAAAAAAATCAGAGGTAAAAAAACATAAAATTAATTTTACAGAGAAAACAGATGCATATTGAGACTACATGGGAAAAACTCATACCATGAAAAAATTAAAACGAAGGCATTTTTAATTACTTACATAGCTATTTTGCTTTTGTTAAGAATTGCTTTGTAAATTTTGCTTACGAACAATTTAAGCATTTATTATTACCTTGTTTATTTTTCAGATTCAAAATATTGCATAAGTCACCAAAGTGGAAAGTAATGTCATTTTATAATATGATAGCAAAAAATAAAAATGTTTCATTTCAATGTTATTTCTTGAATACAATTTCAATATATTATCATTATTTTAATGAAATTGATCAGTGTTATAATGTTTTAAAAAATATCATTGTAAAATTCCCAGATTTCTGAATTAAAAATTTTCTATAGAAACTAAGCTTAAAATCGCCAAAATGTTGATAAGTTGCCAAATTCGGAACTGTTTAAAAAATAATTCACATTCCCAAAAGCGAAAAGTTGTTTAAGAGCTCTTCATCAGAAAAAAATTAAATAATTTTGAAATGCTTATGTTTCACTTCTTGCTCAGAAACTTGAGTACACCATCGTTTATATTAAAAATAGAAACGAATTATACTCCTTGAATCTACTCAACCATTCGAAAGATAATTATATTTATCAATGAATCACCAAAAATATTTGTCCAAAATGCTATTTCACATTCGAAATGGCAGTTGTGAAAACAGAAATTTTAGATGATTAAAATTAAGGACCTCCTGCCGAATTTGGTTGAAATTAAGGACTTTTAAGGACCAAATATTGTTTAAAAAAACATAAAGGCTTTTAAGGACTCTTAAAGACTATATGAACTCTGTCAACAGAAAAAGGAAATTTAAGTAAAAATTCTGCCAGACTGAGTAAACATTCAGTAAAACTGAATTTTAAAAGTAAACTATTTGCAACTAATAACTTCTTAGTGAAAGGGATAGTAACCTTACAGGAAACCAATGAAAGAAAGGCTTACTTTTTCTTTTACTACAGAAATACCGAATTCTTTGACATATATTTGCTGCTCAGCATAATTTAAGAATTAACCTATTTTATTATTATTTCTTAAAATTAAATATATATATATTGCAGAAAACAGACTAAACTTTATTTACAACATGTGAATTAATTTCTTGTATATCCTTTCTTCAAATCTAGAATTAACCTTAAAAGTTTTTTTCTTTTTTTATTTGTTAATTTTATAACAAAATAACCCTAATAAAAATTTTCTAATAAAGGCTTGCATACAAAGACTTCTCTAGCATTAGAAACCAATAAGTAAGCATTAGAAGGTTAGTTATTTAGATATTTTTAATAAAATAATGATACACGAATTTCATCAGTATTTATTATGGGAATAAAACAAATGTTAGAAGAAAACGCATGAAGCTGACAAATAATACAATAAGAAAAAGTAAAAAATACAATAATACTACAATAAGAAAAAGTAAAAGAACACTTTACTTAATTTTCAATTTAAAAAGGATACAGAGAATAAATACCAATTTCCCACCTAGGAAATTCGCTTGTAACGCTGATAATTCCGCCAGCGATCATGCCTGAGAAAATAAAATTGAATAATTTATCAAATAGATGTATTTAAAAAGAAAGCTTTGCAAAAATTTCGTAATAATTATAATTTGCTTTTCATTACCGTAAGAACTTGTCAGAGCAAATTCATTTGCAAAAATGCCCCATTCCAAAGGTTTTAATGCAATTCTCATCGCAATTTCTGATGAAGATTTATATACATTGAACTGCTTAAATAATAAGTAAAAACTTTACTTTATTAATAATGTGTATGATTACACCAAAAGACATTTAACAATAATATTTACAATTTGTATAAGTAATTTGAAACTGGAAGTTCCCACATTTGTATTGTTGAGTTGTACTTAAATGCTTTTGAAATAAACATTTAGTGAACTATATGATTGCCACCACAATTATCATTTGCGCAAAGTATATTATCCATGCAAAGCATGCAAAATCAAATGTTATATAATGAACATTATGTGCATTAAGAAGAATTAAACAGAAAAATTAATATTTTCAGTAATTTCTGAAATTTACCTTCGTTGTATTAAGGGAGTATTATTATGCAGCAGACTGTAGGGGAAAAAAAATTGGAAAATATAATATATAAGTCTTATATACGCGTTGAAATTATTTTAAATGACTTTAGCTTGACCTAACTTTATAAATCAGTTCTAAACCTTGAAAAGATACAAGTTTATTTATGTTATTTGCTATAAAATTTAACTCTCATTAATAGGTTTTAAAATTATACTTTTCTTTTCTTCTAATAAACAGCTTTGAATTCAAAACTGTGTAAAAGTTCCAGATAGATTACTTAATAATCAAAGGAATAAATTAATTTCATAATTTAAATGGTATCAACTAAAACAGCAACATCTCAACTTTTCGCTTTGAACTTAGGACTTTAAAGACATGGCCGGTTCTAGTTCTAGTACCCAAGGAAGTGGAAAGGCAAATGACAATGGAAATGGTTTACTATTGTACCAGTTTTATCCATCATTCTTTTGTCAGAAGGTGAAATATTTTTGATCTCATCAAAATTGTTTAAGCTAATAAAAATGACTGTTATAAGTATTTTTCATGAAATATTTTATATTGTATTACATAACTGAGATTACATCGTGATGGTAACTTGGATCAAATATGATTCGGTGTAGTCATAAGATAAATAATATAAAGAGTCTGATTTCTTAGGCTTTTATTTCAAAATTAAAAAGTTGCTTAATGTGTTTTCTAGGATGAAAGCAGTTTGCTGAACAATTACTACACCTCCTTAAATCTGTTACTTTGATATATTCATTTTCTCTGTCTTTATATGTTTATTTTATGAATTACTTCACTAAGATTTCAAAATGCAGATCTGCATTTGATTTTCCATGATGCTTGTAACTCTTGAACGTTTCTTGTATGATTTGAGTTTTACTTCTGCATTTTTGTATTTCTCCTTTTATTAGAAATGAGAAATTTTATCATCCTAAATTACTATTGTTTTTCCCGTCTTCTCATTTATCATATCTCATGGAGTCAGCTATTTCTAACCATTTGTATAGTATACCAGTTCATAATTTAACCACGAAATCTCACAGAATTGCATTTTTCTCATTTGAGAATAAGATTTTTAAAGTTACAAAATTGAATAATACACGAATGAAATTCTTTGAAAAAATTCCATGTTTATTATTTTTTTAATAAACATTGATAAATTTTGATGTGAAATTAGAATCAAGTTGGTTATATAAAATAAAGTTAGACATAATTTCTAAAATTCAGTTTTCATTGTGTTGTTGAATAGTTTTTGATTATAGTTACATCATGTAGAAAAAGAGAAAAAAGTATTTATATAAATGTGTAATATGAATATGAGCCAGTTTCCTTTAGAATCCTTCATGAAGGCATTCCTCATCTTGGGTAGATAGTTGAGTGCTTTGCTGTGATCTAAACTGGCAGAAAAATATTTGTATGTAATAAATCATCTGGCTATATGTTTGTCATATAAAAGTAAAACAATTTTTCATTTAAATGCTTGTAATTATAAATTTCTCAATATATTAATATTTACTGGGAAACAGAAACTGGCAAGAATCATGGGTGATTAACTAATAGGGGTTTTCAACCAGGCAGAATTCCCCTTAGGGTGAATAGCAGGGAGGAATGTGGTCAGCCTTTTATTTAGCTGTTAAGCTCTTCAGACGGGGACATAAAGGTCATAAGTGGTTAAAGCCAAGCTTCGTTGCCAAGGCAACCAGTCTGCTATGTCACAAAGTCTGGTTTAGGGCTCGTGGCATAGGGTTCAAAGTTTTCAACTTTACGCCAAGTTTGAGATAAGCGTCGACCAATCAGAGTGAAGCTAAAACGAAGCGGTTTTCTACAGAAGATTTCGCTGTCACAAAATAAGCAGAGCGAACATGGGAAATCAATCGAGCAGGAGAACAGCGCGGGAAAGTTATAGACACATTCACGCATGCGCAAATTCAGCTTCTCTCATTGGCCACGGCTTACACCCCGTTCTCGCAGGTGTGAACGGAATTCCCGTATTTTATGCCCTTATGACTATGCCTCTATGCCCTTTACGCCGCCGTCTGAATGCAGCCTTAAGCGTTAATTTAGTTTATGAATGTAATATATGTAAGATATAACAAAAATAACAAAATATGATGGCTGCTTTAAGAAATGATTGGCAAACTTAAAATTAACTATTCTAGATTGTACATTCAGCCTCCTAAGTTCATCTGTTCTCCCAAATTTGAGATCTTTCCATGTTATTTCATTAAAAGTTTGATTTATTGAGATTGTATATTTTTTTGGTTTAATCTTTGGAATATGGTAACAAGCAGTTTGGCGACATTTTGCTAGGCGATAAAGGTTACTACCTAGGACTTGGGGAATAATGTGAGAAGTATCCAATTCCAATTACGCATTATTTTGGGTGAGAGAAATGAGAGATCATGAGATATATCATGTGACATTTATGGACGAATCAGTTGTTTAATCGGAAAAGGGGGAAAATTTGAAAAAATATCTGCAGTTCTTTATAGCATTTTCTATTTAGGTTCATTGTGTGTTGTGTGAAAGAGTGTGCGTGCCACGTAATAAGATTCTGAAGATTAGTAAGTTAATATTTTTAATCATTGAGGATATTATTTTTATGCATTGTTAAATGTAGGAGTAAATAATTAATATGATATTATTGGAAATTGTTATTAGCAATGATTTAGTTTAAAGTAATTAGGATCGTAATCTATTTTTATTAATTTAATGTATGCTTATTTATATTTTAAGTAGTGTTTTTTAATTAATTATATTTTAATTTATGATCTGATTTGTGAGTTATATGTTTGTAGTATTTTGAATACGTTTGAGTAAATACGTTGAATTTTCATGCATTTCTGAAATTTTTCTAATTTATGAGAAAAAACAGTGTACATGGATGTAGGAAGATGTGCGCAATGCCATTTTTGTGCAATTCTGGGATGTTTTTTTTTAAGTAAAAATAATCGACGTGTACATGTTTAGTGATATTTTAATTAAATGATAGTTATTTTGTGAATTTGATGTTGTAGGAATTTGGTATACGTTTCAGTTGAAGTTAAACGTGTATGGAATATTTAAAATATTTGACACTAAGTATTTTAACCATTTGTAATGTTTGCGGTATGAATTCATTGGTGATGTTTATAATATAAATAAATAATTAGAGGTAAAAGTTTTTGGATATTTTATTTATTTTATACTGGAAATGTCATCCTTGGAAAGGGTATATACTTTTTCGCGATCAGGTAATTTCATATATGTCCTTTTTACCGAGTTTAAGATTCACAGAATTTTTTTTGCATTTCGTGCAAATTTTTGTAATTTATGAGAAAATAGCAGTGTAGATGGATAAGTTTAGAGTGTGTGCAATGCCATTTTTTGTGCAATTCTGGGATGTTTTTTTAAGTAAAAATAAGTCGACGTGTAAATGGTTTATGTGTATGTACTATTCTGAAAAACACGCAAGGAGTTTGCGATGTGCACTTTTCCCATTTTGCAGTTAATATTGTCATGATTAGCAGTTTTGTTACATAAAATTTCTAGCATAAGTGCAATTCGGCTAGTAGATTGTTGGAAAAAGTGTTCAGTAAATAAAAAGAAAAGAAACATGTTTTTACTTCGTGATGACAAAATGGCGGCGAAAAAAAAAAGAGGGTTGCTGTAGCAGAGTTGGTCGTCAAATTTTCGCCAAAAAATCGCCAAGTTACCATAATCCAAAGATCAACCAAACTCATTGCAAAACAAATACGTCATTTCTTTTCCTAGCTTCTACCATGCTAACATGTTCTTGCTGCTTTGCATCTCAGTCTGAGATGCCTACATTTTTCTTTTAAAAACTAGTGTAAATAAAAATTATCGTACTTAAATATGATTGAAAAAATACCCTGTCTACATAATTGATCCGATGTGAATTAACGTGGAATAAAATATTTTGAAATGGCCACATCTAGAAGTTACTGGCTTTTGTATCTATCTCTCTAACTATACATATATATTTATGTAGGTTTGTTATTTATCAACATTTTGTTTTTTAATTTATAAAAACATGTTAAAAATTAAATCTGAATCTAAATAAATGCAGGTATATTTTTTGGTTTTTGTGAAGGATGAGGTGGGGAAAGAATGATCTAGTATTTCTGAAAGGGGTGCATGGAGCCAAACTCATTGAGAACCACTGAACTAGTACTTTGATGGCTTTATTTGGTAAGGCTAGACAGTTGCTTCAGATTTTGCACATCTGGTATTTTCAATTAGTTCTTTATTTAAACTTTCACGTTATGTGTGTGTATGTATATTAACTTTCTAAATACCTTTCTAAATACCGGGCTGAAATTCTCATAATATAGCCTTCAGACCGGCGCGATCCAAAATACTTTTGCTCCCCTCTTTGACGTTTTCCTAATGAGAAAAGTCGTTAGTCCCCTCCATGGATGCAGTAAAATTTACGGTTAATCTTTGGATTATGGTAACTCGGCGATTTTTTTGCGAAAATTTGGCGACCAAACTTGCTACAGCAACCTGCTAGTTTTTGTTTGGACGCCATTTTGTTTTCACGAAGTAAAGGCTTTTTTTTTTTTTTTTTTTTTTTTTAAACTCAACATTTCCAACATTTTTTTCCAACAATCTGCTAGCCGAATTACTCTTATGCTAGAACTTTTATGGAATAAAAATGCTTAATCATGACGAAGATTAGGTGCGAAATTGGGACAAAGTGCAGAATCGCCCACTGCTTGCTGCGTTTTTACGAATTGCACATACACGGTATCATCTATGTACACGTCAACCTATTTTCACTTTAAAAAAATCCCAGAATTGCACAAAAATGGCATTGCGCACACTCTTGACTATATCCATGTATACTGCTAAAGTCCTAGCTAGTAACCTTTATCGCCTTACCAAAATGTTACCATATTCCAAAAATTAGCCAAATTTACATGTTTGTCGTATGCTGTTCCATAGTCTAGAATGGGTTGCTAGATTTGCGATCTTTTCGATGATTATTTTGCTTTCATTTAAAGGAAGTTCTATTTAGAACAAAACGTATGCAGTGTTTACATTTCATCTACTATTTCTGATCAATCTTGGCAATAATTTGTGAAGTTTATAACCTTGTTTTCACACTTCATTTATATTTGCATATTTTCGTATTAGAAATTAGAAAACGAAAACAAAATTTTACAAAATATAGTAAATACGAACTAGATCTGTAAGTCTGCAGGTTGGAATGCGATTTTTAATAACATAATTTCAATTAACAAAATAATGGTAATGACTAATTTAATGAAAATAATAATAAATATTAATAATTTATTACCATTAGATGATTAGAATGAGATTCAATACAATTAGATTTTGAGATGAACTTACAGCAATAATAAAGCTTTACATAACAATAACAGAGATTTAAATCTGCTTTTTTTTTCGATAATTTTGTATTATAATATAAAAATCAAATCCGAGATACATTGGTTGCGTTTATCATT